TATACAACATATTAAACCACCCCCACACATTATACAACATATTAAACCACCACCTCACACATTATACAACATATTAAACCACCCTCCACACATTATACAACATATTAAACCACTACCCCACACATTATACAACATATTAAACCACCACCCCACACATTATATAACGTACCTGTGTCCCCCACACATTATACAACATATTAAACCACCACCCCACACACTATACAACATATTAAACCACCACCCCACACATTATACAACATATTAAACCACCACCTCACACATTATACAACATATTAAACCACCCTCCACAATTATACAACATATTAAACCACCACCTCACACATTATACAACATATTAAACCACCCTCCACACATTATACAACATATTAAACCACCACCCCACACATTATATAACGTACCTGTGTCCTCCACCCCTAATACACCAGGCACAAGTCATTGAATCGTTAGAAAACTATTATGAGCAGTAATTTACAACCATGTTTGCGGACGTCCATAAATGACATCATGCTGTTTTGACGCTTTTTGTACCCAAACCCACCCAACCCACCCTCTCCTAAAACTGATCTTACAACTTGTCAATGAACAAACAGGACCCCCACCTCCACCCCCCCCCCAATATGATGACACATCATACACAAAATTGCAATGTTTTGTTGCTGTTGTTTTTTTCCAGACTATATATATATATATATATATATATATATATATATATATATATATATATATATATATATATATATATATATATATATATATATATATATATATATATATATATATATATATATATATATATATATATATATATATATATATATATATATATATATATATATATATATATATATATATATATATATATATATTAAAAATAACGGATCGGCTATTTCAACAAAACAATGTCTTTTTAAAATTGGTGAGTTGAAACTACAATTTTCCCCCTCCCCTACCTTCCTTCTCCCCCCCCCCCCCCCCCACACACACACACATAAACACAACTCTAAAGAACTGAGGAACTCACTCTTTGTAAGTCAAAACTGAGGACAGAAGTTCCTTTATAGGTGGAACCACACAGAAGTATTGAGACAAACTTTATACATTCATATGGTGAGGCCAGTATCTCACAAACCAAACTTGATACATTCATGTGTTGAGGCCAGTAGGCTACATCATACAAACCAAACTTGATACATTCATATGTTGAGGCCAGTACATCATACAAACCAAACTTGATACATTCATGTTGAGGCCAGTAGGCTACATCATACAAACCAAACTTGATACATTCATATGTTGAGGCCAGTACATCATACAAACCAAACTTGATACATTCATGTAGAGGCCAGTAGGCTACATCATACAAACCAAACTTGATACATTCATATGTTGAGGCCAGTAGGCTACATCATACAAACCAAACTTGATACATTCATGGTGAGGCCAGTATCTCACAAACCCAACTTGATACATTCATATGTTGAGGCCAGTAGGCTACATCATACAAACCAAACTTGATACATTCATATGTTGAGGCCAGTACATCATACAAACCAAACTTGATACATTCATGTAGAGGCCAGTAGGCTACATCATACAAACCAAACTTGATACATTCATATGTTGAGGCCAGTAGGCTACATCATACAAACCAAACTTGATACATTCATGGTGAGGCCAGTACATCATACAAACCAAACTTGATACATTCATATGTTGAGGCCAGTAGGCTACATCATACAAACCAAACTTGATACATTCATATGGCTAATTCTGTAATTCACAACTCATGATTTAATCTAAAAAATACTTGAATAGTACTAGATCTAGTACTATTTATTTTTTAAAAAGACTCTGCTATTAAAGTTAAGTAAAATTGCCACATACTTCTTTTATTTCTTTATCTATTATTATTTTTACTGTACCTATATTATTTATTATAAGTTATGCAATATTTAGAGCTAAACATCTCCATACACACATTAGTAATTAGACTTTCTAACATTTAATTTTGTATTTATTTCAGAATGGTCCACAATTATAAACGAATAACTTCGGCCTATGACAGATGAGAGTAGAATTCAGGAGGAAGAAATTGAGACTTTCTCCTCACCCAGTGATGACTGGTTGCCCCCATGCAAAATTGTTTCCAAGGGGAAAATGTTTTTTACACATTTTTAAATACATGAATTTTAAAATTTTCATAATGTGTGTGGAATTGCCCCACTTGCCATGTTTTTGCAATAAAAGTGAAATATTTAAAAATTGTATTTTATTTTGTGAATTATCTTTATATTTGTTTGCCATCATATAAGTAATGCATGTCTAGTTTTACCCTCAATATTATATTGTGGTAGTGTTGATTTTAGATTTTTTACATTTTTTTTAGAAAAGTAGTGTATGGAATTACCCTGGGTTACCCTATCTCACAAACCCAACTTGATACATTCATGTTGAGGCCAGTAGGCTACATCATACAAACCAAACTTGATACATTCATATGGTGAGGCCAGTATCTCACAAACCAAACTTGATACATTCATGTTGAGGCCAGTAGGCTACATCATACAAACCAAACTTGATACATTCATATGTTGAGGCAAGTATCTCATACAAACCAAACTTGGTACATTCATATGTTGAGGTCAGTATCTCATACAAACCAAACTTGGTACATTCATATGTTGAGGCCAGTACATCATACAAACCAAAGACAAACATAGCTCTAAAATTGACAGAACACATAAACTGTAATGAAACTAACACCGTAAAATAGATTTTTAACTTTTATTAAATTGCTTCCATTAAATACGAGCTGATGTTAGTTTCATTAAATTTTCTAGTTTCATTTTAATATTGTCTGATTAGTTTTGCTTCAACTTGCAAACAGCCCAGTAAAAACACTGATGCTTATCAGATTGCGCTTTAGTTTCATAAAACTAACTTGGTAAGTCCACGAATATATCCAGAGACGAACGATGAAGGTAGATGGTAATATGTTTGCTTTTTAAATTTTGAATTGAATTTTGTTTGAATTTTAAATGTTCGTAGCAATGGGTTCGTCGTTCCAAGGCATTTTTAGTAGATAATTTGTTTGCAGCAGTGAATTTATTATTCGTAGCCAAGTTTAGAAGGTTAACGTTTTTAGCCGTGAGATGGTCAAGTCGTATGCATGAGAGAATTGTTTGAAGCAGCGATTTTTATATAATTAATAGATATTTTTTAGGAGCAATTCATTTGAAGCGGTGAGATGTTTAGTCGAAGGCATCTTTAGGTGGAAGACGAGCGGCCGTGGGAGCGTTTTCCACATGCTTCTGCAGCATCTTGTAGTCGACCTGGGAGTTGTAGTTGCTGATGATACGACCCTTGGAGTACAGTTTGATGGCGGGCAGCGAGTTGACCAGTTCCTCCCGGCAGAGCTCCGGTTCCGCCGTGCAGTCGACGGCGGCGAAGGTGGATCCGTCCCGCTTGGTGACGTAGGCGGCCTTCAAGAAATGCGGTTTAACCCGCTGGCACTGTGGACACTTGGGGTCGTAGAACATGACCATAGCTACGTGATGGTCCTCTAGATAGGCCCTGTAACTATCTCTGGTCAGACCTAAGATCTTGGTGGAATCAATAAACCTGTCATACTTCAAACCTCTCCTCGAATGTGCCATAACGATAGATCAGGTGCTGGGAGCTTAGGGCAAGACGAATTGCTTCCGATGGATGTCTTTAGTATTTGGCAAAGCTGGAACGTAAACAAAACAAGTCACGGTTGATGCCAAGAAAATCTACGGTTTTGTGCGGCTAAGGTTATTGTATCCTACTCCGTCGTTGTTCAACTCAAGTGCAGTTTGATGCGCATTGGGTTTTATTTCCAGAGTTGATTTACACGGTGCGCAAACCGGCGTTTTATTTATACGTGTATTATTAGATACGGTTATATTGAAAAATATAGAACTTGTAAGTTTATCGTTCTTTCTCGCGTTAATTCGTGTCTGGTTAGCCAGGGAGAGATAAAAGTTTTCGAACTAAATCAATTGTTGTGAACGGGGTTTCCCATTGATAACAAAAAACATGGCGGCTATTTGTTAGTAGGTCCCGCTTCAAGATTTCAAAATCATCAAACGTTCCAGAAATGCAACAACTGTAAAAACTTTCAACGCTGTTTTGTTCATATGGATGGGAACAAACACATGTGTATGCATTTTTGAATATAAAAAGTTTTGTGGCGGTAAGTATATTGATTTTATTTCTTTTGTTGATAGTTTGTCCAAGGCTAGGGGACATTACTCTGACTCTACTCAGTCTTTGCTACGAGACTTAAGATTCCCAGACCTAGACCTAGATTCTAGAATCTACCTACTAAGATCTACATTGCTTTAATCTAGTTCTAAGAGTATAAGTTCATGAATTAGAATATATTAGATCTAGATTCTAGATCTAGTATTTTAGTGATCTAGATAAAATATTAAAAATATTAAGAAAAGGATGACGGTAAAAACTAAAACAACAGGAAAATGAGGATGACTTCCAGTCTCACTCAGCCTACGACTTACTTTTAATCGAATCTAAATCTAGATTCTAGATCTAGATATTAGATCTAGATATATAGAACTTAGACAACAATGTTAATGTTAATAGACCTAGATCTAGCTAGATTACTGAACTAGACTCTATCTATCTATTACTGATTACTCAGTGATTAGCCTACTGTTTAATATTTTAGAAGTAGATCTAGATCTAGGCCTATTATAGTATATATAATAATACTAGAGTCTATTATATATTAGTTATTAGAAGTAGCTTGTAGATAGATGGCTAGATAGATAGTATTTCTAGATCTAGATAGAGATAGTAGAATAGATCTAGATCTAGATTCTAGTTGCAGATGGTAGTATGGTAGGCCCTAGATCTAAAATCTAGATCTAGAGAATCTAGTAGATCTAGATAGATTCTAGATCTAGATCTAGATTAGATCTAGTTTAGGTAAAACCTACCCTAGTTAAGTTTATTAGTAAGAGCTAGTAATGCCTAGTAAGGCTAACCTGTTTTTAATTTTAAATTAATTTTTTTTATATCTAGAATCTAGACTAGATCTACTCTAGCTATTTACTAGATCTAGATCAGTAGCCAGTAGAGTGATTAGAGTAGTAGTAGAGTGTAGTGTAGAGTACTGTAGACTATTGTAGAGTGTAGGTACTAATAACTAGACTGAAACTAAATTAGACTAGAATCTAGGTCTAGATACATTTAGGGCTTACAGACTTATCAGACTACAGTGTTGCAATGAGTAGATCTAGTAATATATAGATTTAAGATTAAATTTAGTTTGAAATTGTTACAGTAGTGCTACTACTTTTCTAAGTAGTAAGTAGTGTAGACTACTAGAAGAGCAAGATGATAGATCTCCATCAAGCTACAATAGAGTTTAGTTAGTAGTTAGTTAGTCATAGTAATAGTACCAAAAGCAGTGTAAGTAGCACAGTAAAATAAAAGTATTACTAGGCCATCTATTATTGTATTAGGCCCTTTTATTTTTAGCAAGTTAAAGTTTGGTTAAGTACTAGTCTTCTAGCAAGTTGCCTAGTAGTAAACTTATAAACTAGATCATGTGTATTAGTACTATTAGACTTGTAGGCTAGTCTTGTTAGTCTAGACCAGGGACTATAAAATCTACAATTGATAACTTTCGGCCTTTTAGTATAAGCCTAATTATTAATGAATTACAGGGTACAAAAATTAATAAATTGGTCAGAGTCAGTATGGTTACAGTTAGCTGTTAATAGAATTAAGTTTTAGATCTATTGACTACAATTTTTAGTTACAAGTAATGAAAATGAAACTAATAGTTTTGTTATAGTTAAGATATGGTTAACTGTAAACCAGATATTTTAGTTTTTAAGACAAGCTAAGTAGATAGAAAACTGAACCTTTACAATAAATTAAACCTTTTATAAATATATATATATATATATATATATATATATATATATATATATATATATATATATATATATATATATATATATATAATATATATATATATATAATATATATATATATATATATATATATATATATATATATATATATATATATATATATATATATATATATATATATATATATATATATATATATATATATATATATATATTAATATCTCATATTAGTTAAATAATTATTTTAATATAATATATGGATAAACCTAATAATTTATTATATTTAAATTCCCTAGGTACTTGGCAAGCAATTTTCTCACACTTTACTGTGGCTATTGGTGCTGATCTTGAACTAAAGGTGAGCTGAATTTTTTTTTTATAATAAGCCATTTTTCAGCTTAAGCCCAAGTTTGAAATCGATTCAGTGTTCTAATTCTTAAAGAATATGTTGCTACTAAGATTATATACTATAAAGACAGTAGCTTTCACATTTCTATCCTAAAAGATAAGAGTTCAGATCCCTGGTTTTAGTCCTGGTATGATGTCCTAAGTCTCATGAGTACCAGCTCTCATGAGTACCTGGCTCAAGATAGGGAAATTAAAGGTGGCTGGGTATATACCTCTGAATACTCTAATTTTACATGCAAATGTCACAGAAACAGGTGAATTTTAATTCAACTGCTATATTGGCTGTCTGTTTTAATCAATGATTAATTTTTTCATATTACAGAAAGTTGTTAAAAATATTATTTATTTAATTTCTAGGTAAATGGAACAGCATGGATGTGGATTTTTAGACACAAGGAAGCTGAATTTAACTTTTAATGAAGAATTTAAATGATGATTGTCCATGAAAAGAAATATTAATCATATACATTGTAATGCTGTATTGATGCATCTTCTGTTTTAAGTAATTAAAAAACCATCCATTTATGAAATTATTTTCATTTTTTTTTTTTTCAATTTTAAAACTGTAGTTCTGTTTTGTTATTTGAAAACAATGATGAAAGTATACTGAACTGCCATTGACATATTAATATAAATGCTATTGTTTATAGTTTAATTCTTTCAGAAGCAACTATATTGACATCAAAACTGAATCTTTATTGTACACTAAGTATAAAAGCTTACCCGCAAACCAGTCCATGTCAACAATTTATTGACATTCAAACATTAAATTTTTTTAAAGGTGATTTTTCTTAAATAAAACAGACTACTTTCATATGGGATAAGAAACATTTAATTTTGAAATCGATTGGTTTATTAAATTTTAATGGAGCTGAAACTAAAACACTGGGTACAAATTTATTATTACTTTGTTTCTCAGAAAATTGCAAATTTTGAACATAAGAACTGTGGGAAGTAGGCAATGATGTTAAAATATCTCTTGAAACTTGAAGAAATTGTGGAAGGTTTAGAGATAGAAAACATTTCAGAAGATGATGTTTGAAATAATGGTAAAATATCTTTAGCAATTGTCACTGAATAAATATTTTCATTAGACAAATCACATTTAGATATAGAAGAATAAGGTATGTCTTCAGATTTTCTTATCAGCGAAGATCCTGGGTGATTCTCTTTGTTACCATCGGTCAAACGACAAGCCAATTCTGGAAAATTCATTGGGTTCTTTGCCTGGGCAGCTAAATATATTTAAATTAAGTTCATGCAAGGCTTTAGAAACATCAATTGGATAAAACTCTATAATTTCATTAACTTTTTATTAATATCAGCTCCAAAGGAATAATATAAACAAGTTACACATCATCAATAAATCAAATTTGCAGATATTTCCATTTTACCAAACTTTCTCTAAGTCATAATATATATTTTAAATTCATGGCATTTTGTTAGGCTAGATATGTTGACTTTTATTTACCACAATAATCTGATTATATAAATTAGGATTACCCAGCTATCATTTACAGATGAACCCTCTCTCTCTCTACCCCTCCCCCTATATATATATATATATATATATATATATATATATATATATATATATATATATATATATATATATATATATATATATATATATATGTATATCTACATAATCTCTAAAATCATGTTGGTACCTCTACCTGTTTGAATGTTAGGCCCATTTCCTTAAACTGTTTCTGTGTGGATCTTCTCCATGGGGGTCATCTATAAATGACGTCACGCATTTTTTTGACGATTTTTACCTCCCCCCCTCCCCCTACACATCGTCACAAAAAGCCAGACCCCCACCCCCTAAAATGACGTCACACAGTACTAGATTCTAGATCTAAATTACTACAGTTGCCTACACTCTAGATTTAGTTCTTAAGTTCTACAACAAGACTACACTAAACTTCGCTAGATCTAGAATAATCTAGATTCTATATATAAATTGATATTGAACATATTCTAGTCTACCTGTCTTAAAGTAAATAGCCTATTTAGTAATTTAGTAATTAATTCCACTCAACTACACTGTAAAATAAAAGAAACTAGATCTAGAATCTAGATCTCTAGACTACTCTTGAGTCTATAAATTAAAAATAAATCCTGTATGTCGTATGTTACTGTCTAAGTCGTAATTTTCAAGAGGGTTTTTTTTAAGTCATAGATCTAGATATAGAGTTCTAGATCTAGAAATCTAGACTCTAGATCTAGGCTATAGATCTATATATTTATTATTATTAATTAAATTAGGCTTGATTTCAGATTTACGATTGAAATCTTTTAGGCCTATAAATATCATATTTTATATAGATTATAGATGTATTATTATTATACAGGTTGTATTCTAGATCTATCTAGATCTATATAAAATATAATATATTTGTGTGTGTGTGTGTGTTATTTTAAACTTAATTTACTTAAAACAACTTATTGTCGGAGTTTTTTTTTTAATTCCAAAAACGAAAGTAGATTTCATAACTTAAAAAAAAAAAAATAAAAAATATTCACATTTGGTTTGAAAAAACAAAAAAACGCCAGCTGGCAACTACCGGAGCGAGAACTTGGTAAGCTACTTTAACAACTTACAAGCCCAATAACAGAAGTTAGTTACACGTTCGAACTAGAGGGTTTATGTGGTCAGGGGGAAAAATAAAAAGCAACTATATTTAATAGTATCGCAACGTTCCTTTAAGTATAAGGATTTCTTTAGACTTTTTTTTTAATGCAGGGAATACTTCGAACCTCAGACTTAGTGTCAGTGGTTATTTTGTGCTATAGTGTCAGTGGTCACACTGTGCTATAGTGTCAGTGGTCACTTTGTGCTATAGTGTCAGTGGTCACTTTGTGCTATAGTGTCAGTGGTCACTTTGTGCTATAGTGTCAGTGGTCACTTTGTGCTATAGTGTCAGTGGTCACACTGTGCTATAGTGTCAGTGGTCACTTTGTGCTATAGTGTCAGTGGTCACTTTGTGCTATAGTGTCAGTGGTCACACTGTGCTATAGTGTCAGTGGTCACACTGTGCTATAGTGTCAGTGGTCACTTTGTGCTATAGTGTCAGTGGTCACACTGTGCTATAGTGTCAGTGGTCACTTTGTGCTATAGTGTCAGTGGTCACTTTGTGCTATAGTGTCAGTGGTCACTTTGTGCTATAGTGTCAGTGGTCACTTTGTGCTATAGTGTCAGTGGTCACACTGTGCTATAGTGTCAGTGGTCACACTGTGCTATAGTGTCAGTGGTCACTTTGTGCTATAGTGTCAGTGGTCACACTGTGCTATAGTGTCAGTGGTCACACTGTGCTATAGTGTCAGTGGTCACTTTGTGCTATAGTGTCAGTGGTCACACTGTGCTATAGTGTCAGTGGTCACTTTGTGCTATAGTGTCAGTGGTCACTTTGTGCTATAGTGTCAGTGGTCACACTGTGCTATAGTGTCAGTGGTCACACTGTGCTATAGTGTCAGTGGTCACTTTGTGCTATAGTGTCAGTGGTCACACTGTGCTATAGTGTCAGTGGTCACTTTGTGCTATAGTGGCATTGTCACTTTGTGCTATAGTGTCAGTGGTCACTTTGTGCTATAGTGTCAGTGGTCACATAGTGTTATAGTGTCAGTGGTCACACTGTGCTATAGTGTCAGTGGTCACACTGTGCTATAGTGTCAGTGGTCACTTTGTGCTATAGTGTCAGTGGTCACACTGTGCTATAGTGTCAGTGGTCACTTTGTGCTATAGTGGCATTGTCACTTTGTGCTATAGTGTCAGTGGTCACTTTGTGCTATAGTGTCAGTTGTCACATAGTGTTATAGTGTCAGTGGTCACTTTGTGCTATAGTGTCAGTGGTCACTTTGTACTATAGTGTCAGTGGTCACTTTGTACTATAGTGTCAGTGGTCACTTTGTGTTATGTGTATATAGTGTCAGTGATCACTTTGTGTTATGTGTACTATAGTGTCAGTGGTCACTTTATACTATGTTGTCAGTATTCATTTTGTGCTACAGGCTATAGTGTCAGTGGCTGCTAGGTACTGTATAATAATGATGCCTAAAACTATTGACATACATTTAGTAGTTGACGTTAGTTTTTGCATCAAGACAACAACGTCTTATGGATTGTGCAAGACAACGTCTTATGGATTGTGCCAAAAACTTAAGTACACATTTATACCCAGCTAGTAGCAAATCACATCTTTGCATGGCGAGTTGCAGGTGGCAGTAAATAATACTTCCGTTAATAATTACCTTCAATGGATATAATGCTTACCGTATTTATTCCCTTAACTTCATGGCCAAGGCTAGTCAAAAGAATGTGAGGGCATTTTTGTGAGGGCATAGGGCTGGTAAGTAGGTCAATAGTCAGTTCTACGGCTCAATAAAACCTGCATGAGCCAAAGAACTGTTTATTGACCTACTTACCAGCCCTATAGCTGATCGATAACTAACAGGCCTAGAGATTGGGTACATAAAACGGTAAGAAGTAAAGACGGCAGGTATGTCTTAAGAGACTGATAAATCAACAAACGGGGACTGGACAAATTGGAAAGTTGTGGGTGAGGCCTTAAGTCACAAGAAAGTAATGAGGATTAGTCTAAGTAAGTCATATATTTTATAAGGTAAAGAAGCGACCAGGGTGTTTTTTTCCAGACATTTCCCTTTCATGGGGCACTAGAAACTTGAGGGGGGGGGGGGTGCAGAGGCGTAGCAATGGGGCAAGAGGGGGACATATGTCCCTGGGAGCCGACCGTAGGGAGCGCCAAAACAGGTTGTAAAAACAAATTAAAATGTCAATTTAGCTGCATTTTTGCAGTTTGAGAGGGGGGGGGGGGGGGTGCAAATTGAAAGTTTGAGGAGGGGGGTGCAAATCGAAAAGTTGAGGGGGGGTGCAATTGAAAGTTTGTCCCCGGGCGCCGGGAAGGGTCGTTACGCCTCTGGGGGGGGGGGGGGGGGGTTGTCGGTGGATAGACGTGCTCCGGGGTGGGGGAAGCATAGAGACATCCCCCCCCCCCCCCCCGATGTGATGCATGAAACGCTTTTGGAAATAATTTCAATACAATCACGTAATAACATTATTGTATACAGAGTTTCTTCCAGGCATCTCTTCTTACCGCCCCCCCCCCCCCCCGAACGAAATGAAATTTACATAATTTATATAGAAAATATTTACTTTTAACAGTGTCCGCCCCCCCCCCCCCCCCCCGAAGAAAGTTTACCCCCCCCCCCCGAAGATTTCAATTGCCCCCCCCCCCCCAAGGAGAAAAAAGTCTGAAAGAAACACTGATTGTATACCATGATCCCTCATATTTTTTTTTACAATCACCAGACCTCAACAGAATATAGGATTACAAAATTGTGATTTTTAATATATTATGGAAATCCCAACATTTTTTGCTGTTTAGAATATTCTTCTTTATTCAAAATCGTTGTTAAACCTCACATGGTGTTGGTGTATAAATATTTTAACAATATTAAAGCCAGTACTTTCAGCAGATCAAGCTAAATATTTCAATTTAAATGGTAAAAAACATTGCAAAAGAAAACTATAATAAAGACACAGAAGAGTTACATAATATTTTTCTACACTACCACCACAACATGGTATGTGTACAACACCTTGACAGACAGAATGGATTGGCTTTTTTTTTTAAAAATAAAGAAATTAAAATTGTCGATCCCAATTTGAAACGTTAAAAAGATTGACAAAGCAACATTTAAAATTTAAAGGGTTCCCATTCAAATGCTGGTCTATGTGTGTGTGTGCTTTAGAACTCTCGTCCGGTTAAATCATGAAAGTCATATCAGCGTTTGAATGAGAACCCAGAACAAAGCCATAATACAAACTAAAACACTTACCCCGTGAATAAAGTGTTCTCATCGTGGCAAATCACATCATGAAAACTTGAAAAAAATAAGTGAATGTTCAAAATATACGAATAGTTTTTTTTACATTGTAGTAGACACGAGAACAGTTTCCTTCCGATGAATTTCCACAGAAAAAGGTTGAACAGAACATTTTTAGTATTATATATAGATATGCACATGATAAATTGAAAGCTTTTAAACAAACAGACTGGTTAGGTTGCCTTTTTTTTGGGGCAGGGGGGATCTACAGGTGGTGGTTTCTTGATAGCCTTCACGGTGAGCGCTTGGTCAATGAAGTCCTTCATCCGAATGTAGTCCAGAGGGTAGTCCCGGCGACTCACAAACTGGCCCTCGACGTACATTTGAAAGGTCGGGAGGCGGGAAACGCCCTCTCGCTTGCAAAGCTCGATCTCCTGAGTGCAGTCGACAGCGGCGTAGCCGTGGCCCTCCACTTTGGTGGTCTTGGCCGCACGGATGTAGTGGCTCCTCGACTCCTTGCAGCCGTGGCACTCGGGGTTGTAGAACATGACCATGGCCGCTTGCTTGTCGTTCAAAAACTCGAAAAAATTGCATTCAATTAGTCCGGTTACCTTTTCGTATCCGATAAACTTATCCGGCTGATGGGGGATTTTTTTCGGCGGCATTCTATTCAGAGATCAACGTCTTGAATTCAGCAAGTTGAGTAAAAAAATAAGTGAAATTACACAAGAATTTCACACGAAGTAAGTAGATGCTTCAAAGATGATACGGCCGTAAAACAAAGAGCCCTTAGTTTACTATTAGAAATATGCTATGTTTTCAAGGAAGGTAGGCTACCATGTTGGTAATTTGTTGACACGCATATTTTGATGACGTTGCAGTAACGTGGTAACAACACAGGTTGGAGAGTACGAAGTAGAAGTTTAGATTTCGGTTCTTTTTTTATTCATCACTTAGGCTATTGTATAGCGTACCAGTCCCCCGCGCGTTGCCGCGGGGATTGAAGAAAGTCTGAAGAAATATATTAGCAGGATTTCACCAATGCGTTACCTATCATATGTTCTTAGACGCGTGACCTTGTTTTCGAAAACTGTTATTTAAATGTAAACAATGCCTGCACTTGGATCATAATTATCGGTACACGTACATGGGTGTTATTAGCCTCGGGTATCAGGGGGCATAACTCATGTTTGGGTTTTATTAGCCTCAGATATCAGGGGCAGAACTCGTACGTGTTTATTAGTCTCAGAGGCAGAACTCGAACCCAGGTGTTTATTAGTCTCAGGGGCAGAACTCGAACCCAGGTGTTTATTAGTCTCAGGGGCAGAACTCATGTTTGGGTTTTATTAGCCTCAGATATCAGGGGCAGAACTCGCACCTGGGTGTCGTTAGCCTTAAAAATCAACATATTGGATAGTATGCCTTTTTTACATAAGTCCAATAACAGGAAACAAGATTAGTCTTATATAAATTATGATTATAGTAAAACTGACAATCGCTGTATTTATGCTCCAGAAATAAATGTAAGACTACAAAAGAAACAACATAATTTTAAATACTTTATTCCATTATCTGATACAGCTGCCAGCCAACCTTCATGTAACAGTTCTTAACTTTTATTAAAAGAAAAAATAAACAGCAATAGTAAAAATAAAGTCAACACTTTCTTCAACAGGTTCAATCAGGGACAGCAACCTCCTCTATGTACACAGCCATTTTATACATTAGCTCTGATAGTCAAAGCATGTTTTGATAGAAGCGGTTTATTTTAAATTTCGTTCTAATAATTTTTATGATAGAAATTACATTTTAAACATTGTTATTAAAAATTATTTAAACATTATAGAAGTGCTTGTTAAAGTCATGAAATCAAAGATCTGTTAGAAGCACTTTATCAAAAATTCAAAAAGTCATGAAATCAATTATCTGTTTTTTAGTGTCATTTGTCCAAATATTTTTAATATGAAATACAATAAAATCAAATGAAAAGGGATGAATGTGGTGTATTAGCTGACAACTGAGTTCAATGGCCATACATTTGTTGTACACAAATTATGTGACTCAAGTACACCAGCTATTACATAAATGTTCCAAACACACCCAGTTAGGATACCGTATACACACACACCATCAGCATGATGTATGTATCTAGTATGTCCACCATAAACACCCAGTAGGATGCCCTATACACTAACCATTACCATCACAATGATATATGTATCTAGTATGTCCCCCATTCACATACTATCAACATCATAAGCATATATACATTCAAAACACATTTAGTCAAGAAGCACATACTATCGGGATGATATATATATCATGTACTTGACATTTCCAGAAACGAAGCCCTGTATGCATACTACTAACATCTTATACATATAAAATATGTTCCAAATACATAACTACCAACATCTTATACGCATAAAATAAGTTCCAAATACAATCATCAGAAAACAAGGGTCTGTACACATTCTATCAACTATATATACAAATCAAACCATTCATTACACTCAGAAAAGCCAACCTTAAAAATACATGTGTAATGTGATAAGTAGGAACCCTGTACAGGTGACATGTATAAACCAGAAGCCACCCCTTCTGAATGTTTTGATAAAATTGCATAGATTGTCAACGTTTCACACCACAGCTCATAGAAAACATTTGGATAAATATTTTAAGGAAGCTCTATAACAAAGAATGCAAACTAAAAACAAATGTCTCCCATATTTACAAAATTAGTACTATTGTAGAATCTCTGGTAGTTGTACCATCACAAAATTAATCACCATTAACACATCCTTCTGCAATTACTATAGAGAAGTAACTGATCACAAGTAAATAAAAGTTCTGCAAAAAAGGTACAGAGCTGTATTAGCCCTATGGTGTCCAATTTATTTCCATGTGTTACTAGTTGGTAATTAAAACCTTGTAGAGAATGTTGCTGTGTCAGCCAAAATTTCTAAACAGAAAAAATGATTTCCTACAAGGAAATGCTACATTTCTACTGGTGGATTTTATGATGAAAACAAACATAATTAAACAGAGGAGAGAAGCCACAGCACATGAGGCACTCTCGCTTTAAAAACAGTACAAGCCAATACAGACAATTGGTCTTAAGCTAGAGCTAGTTTCATTTCAATCATTCATCAGTCGGCTGCACTTTTTATACAAATCAAGAGACTTTGATGTATTGAAAGTGAAATGAGGAAGGATTTTAACAAAGTGAATAATTGAATGTTGCTTATGACTTAGCTCCTTTGAATTTGTTAACATAAAACCTAATTGTTAATGTTAGGATAATACAAAGCTACTATAGATTTTACCTAAGTAGAAATCTGGCAATAAGGCACAAGTGGTCAGAAGGGAAAATAGAGTTTGGGAAAAACCCAATTCTTCGCACATGCTTGTAATTCATCAACTTGTACCTGGCCAGCAGAGTCAAGGGCTCAGGGGCAGCAGGTAACCTATGACCCCCACCATCGTCAACCTTTTCTACTTGCTCCATGTTCTGATTCGAGTAAAATATGTAGTCCACAACAGCTGATGACTTGCTGTGGTAAGTAGTGATCTCATCACGGTTTGACCTATGGTGTGGGTACACTGAGATGAAGTTCATCTTGTGGAATATTTCCCCTGAGTTCACCTTCAAGCGCTCTGGGTGTATCTCCGCCTCCAGGGATCTTTCTTTGACCACCGACATGTACTGACAACCCTGGGTGATATCAAGTTCCTGGGGCAGCAAGGCTTTACGTAGCATGGCCCCCCTTCCACCCTCCGCTCCTTCCTCCTGACCGCAGACAGACCTGGATGCCAACCCTTCGTACTTCAGGTGGCCCCGGATGATTAGGTCGTAGAGATCGCTGGCCGGCGTTGAGTTGAAATCCCCACAAAGGATGATGGGGCAGTAGTTTAAAGCCTCTGGTTGACTTGTTGATGCAGATCCAGAATGAGTGCCTGGCTTATCAAGTTTTTTATGTGTTTCATGTGCATACTTATCAATCTCCGCCAAGAACACCATCAGCTGGGCTAGCTTAACGTCCCCTCTCCTGGGGTTAAAGAGAAGGTGTGTGGTGGCCACGCAGATTTTCTGGCAGGTTCTGCCTGCCTGCAGGGGTTGGAGCAGCAGGATGATGCCAACGTTGTCCCTGTCAAGTATCCCACCACGCTTGAACTCCACTGGAATGAAGTTTAGCTGACGGAACTTGGAATGCTTGTATAGTATCGCACAGCCGTCCACTTTGTCATCCACTTTTTTCTTATACACACCTTTGTACCCTGGAAAGGTTTTTTAAAACTTTAAAATCTTAACATTAATATGATTAAACTTCTAAATTTAAAAATTTATCATTGTTGTTGTAAAGTTACAAAACTAAACTTTTGAAAAAATAACAGATGTAATTAAAAATTAGAGCATTTAAAATAATTAAACATTAAATTTAAAGCTAAAATTTAGAATTTTTTTTATTTATTTTTAAAAATGTAGCACAATTATTTAAGTTATCAGCCCAATATTAAGAGAGATGGAAGAAGAAGTGCAGGCTACTGGCAAGACCTGGCATGAACTAAAGTGGCTCGCCCAAGACAGTGGAATGGCAGAGATTTGTTGCTGCCCTACACTCCACAGGGAGTGATGAAGTATAATGGGTAGGTGATACATCTTTGATACAACAAAGCTGTAAATACTTGTAACAACTGTAGCAACCCACCATTTTTGACCAGGGGTCGCAGAATGTCGTGATGCCAGTGGTCCTCCTGCACTTCTTGTAAGCAAATGATCTGAAGGGACAAGAAAATGGTCAGGTGTGAAGCTTTATTATTATTTTTATAGTGGATTGATAACAAATTATTATTGAGAAAATATTTCATTTGTGTTGAAACTATTGTTGATGAATAAATTATTAATTTATTAAGAAGGAGCTTTTAAGGAAATACTATTGTGTCCCTAACTAGCTCTTGTAGATCAGTACAATCAAGTAGATAATGAATATATTAAAATCAAATATAACAATGAGAATTATATCTCTTTCTAGAAGTCAAATATGAAAGTTAAATTACAAAATCCACTATATATTGAGATGTGAACTGAGTATTTTATTAATGTCAAATATGAATTTGTAGAGTAGTTTTAACATGTGATTACACAGTTACATGGGTATTTTAATCAAGCTGAATTAAACTTAACTATGCTATCACCCTACATCAGCATTATGTGTGAGAATCTGGCGTATCAACAGAGAACACCTGTTGGCCCAGTCGATGTCTCTCTCTCTACACTCTCTGTACAGGTAGGGGTGCTGAACCAGCAGTTCCTGGGACAGGATGTTGTAGGTCATGACAGTGAACTCCATGCCTGTCCTAGAGCTGTCCTGACTACCAACATATTCCCATTTCCTGTGAGTCAGCTCTGAGGTAAAAATAAAATTTAAAACAAAATTTTAGCTATACACTAAAAAAGATATTAGATTTTTAATTACACAGTTTGCAGTAGTAAAAAAAGTTAAAATAAAATTTCTACAATTAATGATCTAGCATTAATTTAATAAGATAACTTTTTAAAAGCCAAATTAACAATCTATTAAGTTCAGAATAGGGCAGAGTAAAAGATATTAGTTAAACAGTTATTAAAAAAAAATAATTAAAATACGTTTAGATGTATTACCAGTTAGAGTTAATAAATTGGAGTTGAAATAATTGATTTCATGACTTTGGTAACAGTGATGCATAATGAATCACTACTAGAAACAGTTTTGAATACATTCCAAGAGTGCTTCCATCATTGCAGGTACAGTGTATTTGTTTCAGCCAATTCCAACAGCCCAAAAACATCAGCTGGTACGTCTCTCCTTTGACTGTTCACATCATCTCCCTAACTTATTTAAATAATTTATTCTTTTTTTTTATTACAATTATTCACTTCTATCCCCTTATTATTTGTTTACAACTCATCCCTTCCTTTTAACAGTTAGTTCAAATTCTAGCAATCTCAATTGATATTTGGTTAACTGCAGCAGTTTGGCTTCCTTGATTGATAAAACACAAGCCACGTTTCTTACAACCAAGTTTCCAGTTATTGTGTTGTGTCATGTAGAAAATATCACAGGCGGGTGAAAACTAGGACCCTAACAGCAGTGTCAGGTAGATTTAACACAGAACATGTCCCATACAATAACACACATCTTCCTTACTGTGTCAGATGGTTTTGTTTGATTACAACAGAAACAGCAAGGTTGATTTGTTAATTTTAATTCTGAATACAAAGTTGTTGAAAAATTACCACTGAAAACGCATGTCATTTAACTTTATAAGATTGATAAAAATAATTTTAACTAAAAAAATAATACTTAACAAAAACGAGGGGGAACATTAGTTTTCAACAAAGAAAAACTAAACCAGTGTCAACAGGTTAATGTTTGAAAGGCTTAACAAAAATACCTGACGTATTGTCTACTTCTGACACAGTAGGGTCTGGTGATTTACTTGCGTTTACAGGCGATGTGCTATGGAAGCTCTGGTTCTGGCTGGTCAATAGCCCAGAGGTTTGATTGCTAAAACAATTGGCATTGTCCAGACCTTGCAGAAGAGAAGGAATTTGGCGGTTAAAGGGAGAGAATTGCTGTCTTGGTCCTGTCCTCTGAGTGGCACCTAACACACTTTGAAGTAACAACTGACTGACATTATTCACAGACTGGCCAGTTCTGGGGAGGTTCAGATGTTGGTTGGTTGCAGTCTGTTGATTGGTGTTCGTGTACCCATATTTTGGTAATGATGGCCGCTGTGGGACACTAGACGAGGCCCCAGGGGAATGTAACATGGAGGCACGCAGCAGCGATGCAGCACATAGTGAAACGATTTGTTGCTGGAAATTTTTTAAATTATTATTGACATTGCCCAATGAATGCTGAACAGGTGGTTGTTGATGTTGGACAGGTGGTCGATGCTGCATAGACTGTTGATAATTAACAGTTTGCTGATGCTGACCACGCAAATGACGCATTGCCTGCTGATTACTAACATGCTGCTGCAGTTTAGTAGGCTGCAGCTGTTGTTGACAAAGTTGCAGAAGTTGAGCAGCCTGTTGATTAATTTGTTGCTGCTGTCTTTGATTTTGAAGAAGTGGCTGGGGTTGACGTGGCTGCGGACTTTGAAGAGACTGCAGATATTTAACAAGTTGCTGGTGTATATCCTGCTGTTGCTGACCAGGTTGTTGCTGTTGATAAGATTTCTGATGTTGAAAAGACGGCTGATTTTGAAATGATTTCTGTGGTTGAAGAAGCGGCTGCGGCTGAAAAGGTCGCTGCTGCTGATAAGATTTCTGAGTTTTAAAATGCTGTTGGTGTTGAAGAGGCTTATCACCCTGTTGTGGGACCATGTTTAGAACACTATTCTGTTCTTCCATGTTATGAAAAGAATTCTCATAGACTTTTTCATTGTTTCCTGACAACATTTGATTTAATCCAGTATTCTGGCTACTGGTTACATCATCATCATTATAAGATAAGATAACACTATCACTATGCTGATGTGGAGATGTTTCAAAATCACCACCAACTAGAGAGGTTGTTTCATTATCTCCAGAATTCTGGTACCCAGCATAAAACTGAGATACTGGTATGGCATTTGCGAATTCACCAGTAGAGCGATAATCTACAAACTCCGAACCATAACTAATAGCATTACAGCTGACATAGTCTCTTATGTCAGCTGCTGACATACCATCTATGCAGGGGTTTATCTTACCTTTAGGTGGCTTTGTACGCCTCTTTTTTTTCTTCTTATCATGCTCTCTGTCAGAAATGGGATTATTTCCTTCTGAGATTTTAAAATCATCATTGTTCTGAACATGCTCTGAATACTGCCAAGTATTTCTTGATGATTCAGATGTATTCAATGTTCTTTCCCCTTGGTTAGAGTAATTATATAACCCCTCACAGTTTTCTGAAGTAGATTGCAAAGTTTCACTTGCTGATGTGTACGTTGCCTCAGTTTGTTTAAACAAACTCCTGTGATAGTTTGTAGACACATACTGATCTGATCTCTCTATAACATGCTTCTTTTGACTGACAGATTTTTCATCGGGGCTAAAAAAAGATCTGGACCTTTTTGGTCTGTCATGTTGTTGGTGTTTAGGGCCATCAGCAAGACTTTTCTCAGAGGTAACACCAATCTCAGAAACATGATACTGATCTCGATTTTTATTACTGGCCTTAACAGGTGACGAAGAGCTTATATAGTTTTCAGACAAATCTTTGGTCACTTCTGTTGTTTTTATCGGTGAGGAGCCCTTTTTCTCAACAGTTGTTTGCTTCCATTTAGAGCTGGAAAATGAACTGCTGTATGCCTTATCAGATGTGTGGCTTTTCTTTAGCCCTGGACCGTCAACAATCCTAGTCTTTTGTTCAGAAATAACACTCATTTCAGAAGCAACAGAACGCACATAACTTACTGCACTGGCTACATGAATGCTTGTTTTTTCTGTTACTGTATTAACAGCTGGTGGTTGTTTCTTAACTCCATACTTGGCTGGTTTAAGTGAAAACTTTATGGTCCCTCTTTCACTTTCACTGGCATGTATTTTTGGGCGGGTGTTGGAATCAGTCTCAGCAGCAAAGAAGTGATTCTTGAATTTGGCACCACTAGCCTCAGCTTTTGTGGTTGTCCCCTCCATGTCTTCATACAGCGGCACTCTCACGTTTGCTGAACATGCACCTCTGTGGCAAGCAACATCTAGGAATAAAACAGTACTTGTTCTTAGTTTATTCTTTATAAGCCTGCAGGAAGAAGGGTAACAAATTATTTACATTTTCATGTGAGATTGAAGGTTTTCCAATATCCATTATTTTAAACCTAATAAAAAACAATTCTGTCTGCTTTACACATTAAGTTAAAACTTAACTAATACATTAATTATAAATGCTCAGATCGTCTCTAAATGAAGATTTATATTACAATTACAATCTCAAGATGCTGATTATTTATATACAGGTTTTGTTTCTTAAGATTTTAACAACTAAATTTAAGTTAATGTAAGTTAAATTATACAGCAAAGGACAGACTACTACTAAACCATCAAGCTAAAAGAATGGTAGTAAACTTAAATTTAAATATAGTTGGGGATAACATTTTACTTCTAGTACATTTACAGTTTTATAGTATGGTCTTGAATGCACACGCAATTTGTTTTTATTTAGCCAAGATGTCAACTATTTTTTTTTAGTATGAAATTGTTCCCATTTTAAAATGTTTGTTCAGTTACAAAGAAATGGAATAAAGTAAGCATAAAAACTAGATCTACTGTCAACATTTGTTAAAATCACTGTCTTTAGGTTAATTATACTGAAGTGTTATTTGAAATAAAATTAAACAACTTCAACAGTGTTTCCACATTTTAGCATTGTCAACTTGTGTACTGCAATTTTATATTTTAGAATTGATTAATAAAATATTTTCATTTATTTATTAACACAAAAACAATGCTGCAGAATTAAAATAACCTAGACCAGCTTATTTCATCTTAAACATCTACTCAGAATAACTATTGATGAATTTTTAAATTTAACTTTGGGAAAAATGTAAGCCTACATGTTTGATTGATTATTAATATTTTTTTATCATTGTGTTTTAATTAAAAAGTTGATATTGAAGGTTTCAAAACAATTAGTATTAGTACCGCATTTATGTTTCATATTTGTACTGAATTAAGCTCACAACCCCCACTTCTAAAAAATATTTGGTCTAAGACGTGATAGGAAGCTTACCATCTTAACTTTAAGCAACTATCTGCCCTTATTAACCTCCAGAGTCTGCTCTTTGTGGTAAAAAAATCCATGAACAAAACTCAGCTAGATTTATTGCTATTAATTTTCCTGTTAGCTACCCTTAATATATACAGTATTCTTTCAATAAATTTTTATGACTCATTTTATATCAAGTGATACACCTAAGTATTTTTAAAATGTTAAGCCTATGATTTAATAAAAAAATAGCACCACATAAAATATATGGCGATCAGGCCTACCAAAAATGGTTTTCACTACTCAGTGTGGATTCCAGAAGTGGCGTGATGGACTACGACCTTGTTTGAAATTTTAATGTTAATAACTGACACTTTATTATATCCGGAGATTACCGAGCCGTAAGTCTAAGCGAGTTCTTCACATACCCCAAGCCAAGGCTACTACTATGAGTAGTTTTCAACAGTTATGTTAGGCCAGGGTAAAACTCCATTTTAGCGTATTTTATTCCCCGGTTCACGTTCACCTCCAGTTGAGCGTATTTTATTATAAACACAACCAAAACACACAAACACATTAGGAAAACATTGGGCTTATTTCTTTATGAAGTTTTGTTTTAGTTTTTGATAATTTACTTCAGTCAAAACTTAAGAAAAATCCAAATTTGGAATATTGAATGTGCTATGTTTGTGTACCATTTTAAGATATTCATGGCAATGCCAATGGGTGAAGTATGGGTAAAATCACGATATAGCGTCGGTTATTATTCCGGAACTGTACAGCAGTAAAAAACAGGAAAACCATGGCGTAGTCTGTCGAGCCGTTCCGGAAACCACCGGAAATACTGTAAACCATCATTTATTTGCCGCCATATTATTTTTAATACATAATGTTTAAAAATGTGCAAGGATTGATTTTAGTTGCATTTTAAATACTGTTTTGCTAATTAGGCCTATTTTGTATTTCTAATTATTTTAAGTTTAAGTGTATGTGCTAATTATTGCTCCTACTAAACATTATTCTAGTTATTCTTACTACTTTTAACTTTAGTAAATCTAATCGTCTTATTAATATTTACTAACAGAACTAGAGTCTAGAGCTTTTTGTCGCAAATCTTCTGCAGTTTTTTTGTTTCTTAAAAAAAAACATTAATTACTACACTCGACTTTATTAATAATATTTAGATTTACTAATTGTTGCTAATTTTTTTGTCAGTTAAACATTAAATTAAGTTAAAACATTAATTTAATGCACTTAACTTTATTTTTCTTTCAACGGTCAAATAAACTATGGTTTACAGTAACAAATGTTACCGAAACTCAACGAACATTACCCAATAATTTCCGATGCTATATCGTGATTTTACCGAAGTATGATACTGAGTATAAAACTGCCTTGCAATTGTGAGTATCATACTCACAATTGCAAGGCAGTTTTATACTATAACTATAAATAAACATATATGAACTCACAATGACCTTAATAAAATATGCTCAACTGGAGGTGACCGTGAAGCGGGGAATAAAATACAATACGCTAAATTAGTGCTAAATGTTGAATTTGGAGTTTTACCGGCCGGTTTTGTTATGTAGAATTATTATGTAGCCTGCCTAACTTGTTGACATAATCTAAGGTCTATTAAGTTTAAAGATTCTGGCCCAAACAAGTTTGATTAGCTAATCATTAGTTTAAAGTTTAAACTTTAAAGCTAGAGTTGTTAAAAAAACTTTAGTTTTAGTCCTCAGCCAGCACAAGGCCAGGCCAGAGCAAAGTGAGTCACGACTCAAATTATGAAATTAATATGAAATTATTTAAGATCTAATGTGTAATCTAAATCATTTAAACCACTGAAACAACAAACATTAACATTTTGATAATAATATAGGGTCTAACATAAATATAGATGGATCTGTCTAATTAACAAATAACCATAAGCAAAATTTCAATCCCATGTTTAGATTTTTGCATTTACTGAAAGTCTTCTTGTCAGGAAGTTGTACGGCGATCACTTAGACTAGATATTACATTAGACTTTTTCTACTTTTATATGCTTAACATTCATAATTTTTTATAATTTTGTGTAAAAAAAAAATTTTCAGTAATGAGAATTTTTATAAAAATATTAGGCAAATTTTTTTTTCGATTCCTATAGATCTACTCAAAATTAAATTATGTGCTTTAGTGGCACAGTAAAAAACCGTTGCTAATCAAATCCCTTTTAAGTTATTTAATGTGCCATGTTTAAGGATTGATCATAGTTAAAGCTGTTGTCAACGTAAATTATAAAATTGAGGTTAAGCTTATTGAGTCTATATCCAGGACTTGCAATTTGTTTTCATATGTTTGAAATAATGTTTAGGAGCCTAACATTTTTCAAATAATAGATTCTTTTTGAAAAAAAGAAATTTTGGAACTTAAATTGTAAAGGTACGTAACCCTTCTCAAAGTGTATTCTTTTAAATAATTGTGTTATTCCCCTTAAGGACATACATTTAAAAAATATCAACATCCCATAGAAACTTTTATTTTAATATCACCCTAATATAAATCTGTAAGCCAACTAGTAAGAAGAAACCTATGCGATTATATGTATTTATATTCACAATGTTCTCGCTCCATTCCCTTCATCAATCTGTTTTGTTGTGAATGGAACCGAAGCTTTCGCTTCTTTACTTACCATCAGTACTATAAATATACTATCCTCCCCCCCCCCCCCCCAAGCTTAAAAAGACTTACTCTACATTGTCCTTTGACAAAGAACTTTATAGACAACTAAGAGTAAATCCACATTTTATTTTGTATGGTTGAAAAAACTCGTTTTGATCTTACGTTATATTTTCCCATCCACCCTCTCCTCCTTTTGGTCATCTATTTGTTGTTAACCCCGTACAAGTGACACCATCCTTACATCTGTCCAATCATTGTTACCTACTTAATAACATTCACTTTCGGTTTTCCTTTTTAATAAGTACCAGAGTTTCTTCCAGGTATCTCCCCCCCCCCCGAACGAAATGTAATTTGTATAGAAAATATATACTTTTTACAGTGTCCGCCCCCCCCCCTCCCCCCCCCCCCCCCACCCCCGAAAGTTGCAAGTGCAAATTGCAACTAAAACGGGTGGCCCACTTTTTGAAAATTAAGTACAGTCCTATAGTCCTATATTTATAGAGTTAGTTAACTACACGTGACAAGCTCAGTAAATATTGTGAATCCTACAAATCCCATTTAAAAAAAATAGATTCTAGATAGATCTAGATCTTTATTACATTCCCATGCACTTTATAAAAGTAATTATTAACAGCCTAATTTTTTTTCTTTTCTGTGAATAATGTATTTTGATTAACTTCAGCATAAAAACCAAAACTAGCAACGCCCAACGCTAACAAAAAAAAAAGCTTGAGTGATCCTGTGATTCAAAATGGTCACATGCGACATGCCCTGGTCAGCAGTGGTTTGAACTGTTTTTCACCTGTCTCTCTATCAACGTAACAGCGGTGTTATCAATCAAACATTTCTCCCATGACTCATGCTGACCCGCAGCCAATCAGATCCCACGGTTCGCCAGATACGTTTCGCACACTCCGCGAAGTGTATTTAGACCGACCGCAGCACCTCGCCGTGTTTCACAGCAGACGGTTCGCCAGTCGTGTAGTTTGCTATGTTTACGAATGTATGGATTTTTTTTAGCAGTTGTGTTTTAAATAAACCCTGATCACTTCTCAACTCTGGATATCAAGCTTCGGTTGATTCTTCAGTCGTCGTTTTCAAACACAGGAGGTCATCAACTCTGAATCAACAGGTTTTGGACACTGACTGTCACATCGCCGGTGTTGGCCTCGCTAACCGCTCTTCGCTGTAGTCAGCTGTTTTTTTTTTCCTTTCTTTATTGTTGCTGTGGGGATTTACGACTAGTGGGATAGCACCGTGGGAATCTTCGTTGTGTATGAGTTCTGTAGCTTGCGCTTTGTGATCCCTTCACTGTGTAGCTGAACTGTGCATTTGTTTTAATAGGATTATACTAGATCTATACGAAACGTACGATTATTAACTAAAAATAAACTTATTTGGATTTGGAACATTGTGGAAAAACAGCTTAAGAATATAATTGTCATAAAATCGATTAATTAATCAAAACAACAAGTGAACACCACAACCACAGGTTGCTGTCGTTAATGAATCGCTCGCCTTCATCCCGTGTGGTCATCTAAAATGCCTCCCCACACGCCGATGATGGATCATAACACGAACTTACTTCCCGACTCAGAGACCAACAGTCTGGCTGGTCAGAGATCGCCAATCCATCAGCCGACCTCGAAAGTGAAGTGTGTCCTAGTGGGCGATGGGGCCGTCGGCAAGACTAGCTTGATCGTTAGCTACACCACCAATGGCTACCCCACAGAATACATGCCCACTGCCTTCGACGATTATTCTGGTAATTATACGTTTTCTCATTAGTTTGACAAGTTTAGGTCTTTAAAAAAAGTAACAAAAAAATCTATCCAAGATAAGCCTGTAGGTATCTTTGTTTATTTAATCATCATCATCACTCACTAAACCCTGTACACTGTACATGTATTAAAATCAATGTATGCTATCAAATAAATAGGACCTAATATTTTCCTTGTAGGTGGGGCGATTATTGATCTTGCATTTAATTAAATAGGTTATACAGACTAGGCTCATTCATTTAGGTCGGCCTGGGAAAATAACTGGTGTTGGTCTAGCTCATGCGTTTTGCTGACATAAGCCCTACACAAGTCGCTTATTGTATCACTAAAGTGATATGTAATGGCTGTATAGATATTGAATGATAAGTAGGCATAGCAATTTTCATTAATTTTGCTTAGTTTGACTATCGCTGGTTCAGGTAGTAAGAAGATAGTGTGTCACTTTGCTGACTCACCACCTATTGCATATGATTCACCGAGGCATCCATTGTAACCGGTTTAAAAATAACTACTGATCACCCATTAACCTATATCCAGTCACATTGTTTGACCAATCGGCTGATGTAGCAAAAACCACGTGACACTAGTCTCATCTGTCATTCCAGCCAATTATAGAAACACCATCATGATAAGACTCGGTCGGGCTTACATTAGTGTGAAAGTGTTACAGTGCGATACCGTATGTCAGGCTACTAGGGGATTGGTTGTTTGGTGCAAACTACCAACTTTTCTTTCAATACTAAATCAGAAATCTGACAATTCTCCTAGACTCTTTAACACTTTTCAATATCAGCCCCCCCCCCCCCGTTTAAAAAACAATTGAAAGAATCCCCTTGCGTGCTATGGTCTAGGGTAGTTAAGTCATCTAACAATTACTTTGTATACATTTGTCTTATTTTGTCACTTTCTATGTCGTCTACCGTGATCACCGAAGTAGCCTACTAAAGAGTTGTTTTGTGTTTCTGATCATATACAAATGTAGAAGCAGAGCTCTATTAGTACATTAGCTGTTTCTATCAACAGACTTTGATCTCATCAGTCTTTGATCTCATATGAATGTAGACACTTAATACACGTTTTCTTTTTAACTTTCAGTTGTGGTCACTGTAGATAATAAGCCTGTACAGTTACAACTATGTGATACTGCTGGACAGGTAAGCTCTTGACCTTTACAATGTACAAGTGGTTGTTGACCTACCTAGATATTCAAATGGGAAAAGACATGCCTTTTTTTTCTTTTTCTGGCCAGATTTTCTAGCAATTTAAGCCAAAAATAATATCTTGATCAATTTATTTTAACATACACGGAGTTTAACGACATACATATCAGTATTTTAATTATAAGTTGATAACATTTCTGTTGTGTATATTGGAGCTCTGCTGATAGCAGTTTAGGTTCTTATTTAATTTCACAATTAATAATCTTTTCTGAGTACTGCATCTGATCTTACCCTACTCTTCAGTGTCGCGCTAGTACTACCTACTACAATTTCTCAAATATCTGTTTAATAATGACATTTAAACTCTTACCATTACCACCTATCCCTGGTTTTGTTAGCTCTGGCAATATCTCATGTTAGACACTGTTTAACTTTAGTCCGTGTATTAAACACATAAAGAAAACGCATCTACCAATTAAAGAACAGAAAATAGCCCTTATTTATTCACTTAAGGACAAGAAAATATTCCATATCAGCATACTTAAGAGCATGCCTGTTTTGTTGTCGGTCCTTAAGCAAGCGATACCTGTTGGCTATTTGTAACTTATCAATGACGGGTCACGTTTTGTTATGAAGTAGTCAGATAAGATTATATTATTTTAAAAAAAACGATTTTCCCATGGAGTTTAGACACTTAATCTCCAAACACGAGTGTTTTTTGTGGTGTGTACCAAGTAGCTACACCCCCACTGGGCCCTTTGACGCGAGACCCGGCTTTATCGTCATTGATATTACGAGCAGGCTAGCGAGGGTTAAGGAACAATGAGTGGTGGGGAGGGGCGGTGCGATTCAAACCATGTTTTATAACTCGGCTATTTATGATTATTTCATGTCTTGTATTAAGTTAACGGAATTAGGAGAATTGTCGTGAATAAATATTATGTAATTTATTTTATGTAACCCGTTTATCTACACATCCAGTGGCCTGAAAATAGCATATATCACGTGATAATAATACCCCCCCCCCCCCTCCCTCCCATCTACCGTCTGGTGCGGGGTGGGCTCACTTGGAGATACAAATCTGATACATAGTGTGTAAATCAATACCAGAAAGCCTGGCTGTATTGCTTGTTTGAGACAATCTTCTCCTGACATCTCATTCTCCAACCACTTGTCTATTTTTAATAACAGTAATTCAAAGCCGATTGTAAATTGTCGTCTGCTGGAAGGCTTAACTCTTATTATCTGAATTTTTTTTGTTTTTTTTTCTTTTTTCTAAAAAAAATATTGAGTTACAAGCCAAACAAACCTATGGGCGTGACCTGTTTTGATAAAGTCTGCTAATATGTGAATGTATGTGACGCTCGCATGCGATGTCATAATTCTCGTTAGTATTTTATTTATTCTGAATGTTTATGTTCAGACTATCTGCAGACAGGCGTAGCTTTTACAATTAGATTTATTACTTTTTAAAAAATATAATGGCACCGGTTTGTACGAGGTCTCTGGTTGCATGTTACCCACGTCAGATGTTTTTAAAAATCGACTTTAAAAAATACAATATTCTTTTATTCTTTTAAAAATGTTGTGCTAATTTAGTTGAACAATGATAGTTGTATCTGATTAGGATAAATGTCACTTAGTTTGACGCGGGGAGTACGTGCACTGATAACTTGGAGGGTGAGGAATCCGTGGTACAGGTCAGCACATTGAGACAGTTTAATTGCGTCTTGATGACCGCATGTCTCATCTGGTCAACGCGGGGTCAGAAAACTACCCCGGGGCTAGCTAGCTCCTGAAAGATTCCCCCCCCCCGCCTGAGTGCCTAATCCCCCCTTATTGGTGGTCACTGGAGCGTTACAGTTTGGAGCTTTGTTGTAGGTGGCCTGTGGAAGATTTAGGTTTAATATTGTCCGGGTTGTCAAGGCAACTGTCGTATTTTCTTTTCTTCGTCCTTTGACGAGCAGCCATTGTGGTGTCCCCGCGGAGTGACTAATATCTCACGTTGGCTTGAGGGTGTTTCAATGAAGATTACTTCAATAAGTCAAACGTCCCCTATGGGGTAGTCGCTTTCTGAATTATTCACCAGTTCCAAAATTGTAATGTATTGTTTTCATGTTAAAGCCCGCACAGCGGTCTTGTTCTATTACAGACTTTTGGATACGTTTGTAAAAGTTTTCGTATGTTCAATTTAGGACCTTTTGTTTGTTCGGCACGAACCTCCAACCTATCATTGTGCGTCCACCTGGTTTCTGGCCTTTTCTTCATTGTGTGGTCAGTTGTTGGTAGACCACTTGTAGTGACCAGTGTAAGACCGTGTCAAGTGTTTCACTATGGTTTACTACCGCCATGTCGTGCCTACCACACAATTAGCCTGGTCAGTCGTTGGTAGACCACACAGTTAGCCTACCGTTTATATATTGCGTGGTAACCACAGTTCACTGTTTTGAAAGCGTTCATTTGAAACGCTCGGCTGAAACTAAACAAAAAAGTGGCACTTGTGTGACAATACTGAAACCTTAATGAACATTACATAATGTACATTTGACTCCGTGCCACATGCATTAACAATAGGCTATGTCTCCTAATGTCCACTCTAATATGTCAGCTGTTGTCGGTTTTCTTTTTCTTCTAAACACATTCACTTGTCATGGCTCACAATTTACTACATGCGATTGACTTTTTATGATTCCCCCCACCCACACACACACTTTTTTCTAGCACTCTCCCCACCATACACACATGGACAGCTTATTCCCGAGAATTATTATGATGCTGCGTATGTTATGTCTGACAGCGTTTAAAATTAAAAATATTACGTCTAGTATACTAAGTTTCTCGCCCATGTACACAATGTAAATATTGTGATGTCGCTGACGTGTAAATGTCAACAACATTCGCAATATTTTATGCCAAAAACATTCACAAAATATATGTCAAAAAAATCATAAAATATATGTCAAAACATTCACAAAATATGTCAAAAACATTCAAAAATATATGTAAAAAAATGCAAAATATTGTATGTCAAAAACAATCAAAATATTTTATGTCAAAAGCATTCACATTATTACATGTGAAACACTTACACTAAAACCATATAGCCTATATCATAGGAAGGGAATAACATTGTTAAGTATAGCGTGATATCCGTACAATTAATGTAACTAGTTACATCGTTAAAACAGCACATAAGTGTGCTATACAGAATCTGACCCTCTGTTTTCACGTTTAGAGTGTAAATGTGTTGTTGGAGGGTAGATGGTCATTCATGAAGAACAGACTATGAACACATGTCCAGTGATTAAAACAACTATTTTAAACTGTTTATTTTTTTTTTTTGGTCGGCTGTAAATAGGATGCAGGTGTTTGTTTGCATGTGGATGTACTCTGGTCATTAGTTGGGCCCGCGCTGCGAGAATTTGTTGTGGACAAGTGACCACGTTTGTCGCTGGACTTGGAATGTCGACCTGTACCTTCGACTCGTGACCGTGGTTTGCGCTAAAATGTTAAGGCCTAATGTATGTGTCCCTGGTTGCTGTGACTCTTTACTGCGAATGCCCTATTTTGTTGTGAATTGTTACTGCGAACTTACGCCCTCTGTTTCTCTGACTTCTTACGGTGAATATAAGCCCATAGTTCATGTGATTCCTTACTGTGAACATATGCCACACCCCCCCCCCCCAGTGTTAATGTGACTTTTCACTGTGAACATATGCCCCCAGTTGATGTGATTCCTTACTGTGAACATATCCCCCCCCCCCATAGTTATTATGACTTCTCACTGTGAACATATGCCCCCAGTTGATGTGATTCCTTACTGTGAACATATGCCCCAAGTTGATGCGATTCCCTACTGTGAACATATTTCCCCCCCCCCCAGTTAATATGACTTCTCACTGTGAACATATGCCCCAGTTTATGTGATTCCTTACTGTGAACATATCCCCCCCCCCGCCCCAAGTTAATGTGACTTATCACTGTGAACATGTGCACCCAGTTTATGTGATTCCTTACTTTGAACATATACCCCCCCCCCCCCCCCCAGTTAATGTGACTTCTCACTGTGAACATGTGCACCCAGTTTATGTGATTCGTTACCGTGAACATAACCCCCCCCCCCCCCAGTTAATGTGACTTCTCACTGTGAACATGTGCACCCAGTTTATGTGATTCGTTACCGTGAACATAACCCCCCCCCCCCCAGTTAATGTGACTTCTCACTGTGAACATATGCCCCCCCCCCCCCCAGTTAATGTGACTTGTCACTGTGAACATATGCCCCCCCCCCAGTTAATGTGACTTGTCACTGTGAACATATGCCCCCCCCCCCAGTTAATGTGACTTGTCACTGTGAACATATGCCCCCCCCCCCCCCCCCCAGTTAATGTGACTTGTCACTGTGAACATATGCCCCCCCCCCAGTTAATGTGACTTGTCACTGTGAACATATGCCCCCCCCAGTTAATGTGACTTGTCACTGTGAACATATGCCCCCCCCCAGTTAATGTGACTTGTCACTGTGAACATAACCCCCCCCCCTCCCCCAGTTAATGTGACTTCTCACTGTGAACATGTGCACCCAGTTTATGTGATTCGTTACCGTGAACATAACCCCCCCCCCCCCCAGTTAATGTGACTTCTCACTGTGAACATGTGCACCCAGTTTATGTGATTCGTTACCGTGAACATAACCCCCCCCCCCCAGTTAATGTGACTTCTTACTGTGAACATATGCCCCAAGTTGATGCGATTCCCTACTGTGAACATATTTCCCCCCCCCCCCCCCCCCAGTTAATATGACTTCTCACTGTGAACATATGCCCCAGTTTATGTGATTCCTTACTGTGAACATATCCCCCCCCCCCGCCCCAAGTTAATGTGACTTATCACTGTGAACATGTGCACCCAGTTTATGTGATTCGTTACTGTGAACATATCCCCCCCCCCCCATTTAATGTGACTTCTCACTATGAACATATGCCCCAAGTTGA